AGCAGAGATGTCTGATCCAGCAAAACTCTGCATCAGCCTGGGGCACACAATAGATCCTTCCTTTCCAATGGAAACTGAATCTTTCATTTGCTCTTTGTATTTTCTGCCCTTGCTTTGGGTTTGTTTTCTTCTCTTTTCTTCCCTTGCAGCAATTGTCAAGGCAGCATCTGGGAGTTTTATGAAACAAATGTTACCCATTAAAAGCCCATCACTGCCTGCCAGAAAGGAAAATGGCATCTTATTGAAAACAATATGTAATGGTTATTGCTGTCTTGTTGCAAGTTATGCCCTTGAAAAATATTAGGGACTTATTTAGTAGCAACTGATGGTGAGGAAAAGCCCAACTAAACAGAAAATTAACTGTTGTATTATCTTTTATACAGCTTCAAACACCATCCTACAAATGCCTGCTTTGTTGTTTTCATAGCTGTGTTTACAGTTGCCTCAAGGACAAGGAACAACACTTCTCCATTATGCTTCTGTTGCCTCAGTGTTGGAGTCACAAATAATTCCTGTCTGGTTTCACGTACCAGCCTTGGAGCAGCGATGGAGACTCTGGTCCTGACCAGGAGAGCACAGCTCCAGCCATGTGAGTAAGAGACCCCCTGTATGCACAGCATCCCTTGGGCACTGTCTGGGCCACCCTGTGCCTCCAAGGAAAACTTTTTACCTTCAGTTGGCACCTTCAGCACCTGTATTGCCAGGCTAAGCTGCTGATTCACTCACAGGCTGTTAATCTTTCTTAAAGTTTCCATCTTAATCTATTTTGTATTGCCTTTTTTAGTTTTACCTTGTATTAAAATTAGGATTAAAAAATTTAAATTAACCGATTTTTACAAATCAAATTGGGAAACACAGATCTTTTGTCTTGAAAACACAGCATTAATTTCTGTACACTGCCAAGGCCCCTCTCAGCACAGCCTGGAACTGAGACTGCTGGCAGAACTTGTCCTTCCTAAGATGGGGCTACCATGAGTAGGGTAAATGTGACTGAGGGTAACAGCCAAAATCCCTGACAGCCTCAGGTGTGGCAGCAGTGGATTTCCACATGCCTCCAGCTGGGGATTGGGAGCCTTGGCTGAGCACAGGGCGCTGAAGGTGCCGCACACGGTGCCTTTATGAGACCTCTGGTGTCAGGCACCCTGCAGAGGCCCCATAGAGGCACCTCATCACCTCTGCCCTAACCCTCTACAGCCCTTTGGTAACTCTTCTCTTTTAGAGTAGGTAGAGGAGTAGGTAAAGGAGTTGATCCTACTGAAAGATCCCCCAGATCCCATCACTGCTCCTGAGAGAGGCCAGAGGCAGTTCAGGAGCTGTGGGCACCACCCTGGAGCAGCACCTTCCATGCTCTCCTCTGCTCCCTCCCACAGGAGCCGCAGCAGCGCCGGTGTCAGGGCTGGCAGGCAGAGGGGCGGGGCTGCCATGGTCCGTGATGGGCAGGGCAATGCTGCTTCTCCCTTCCAGGAGAGAGCATTTCCCAGGCAGGAGCAGGAATTCCCCCCTGCTCCCCAGGGGCTATTGGAGGCTGCAGATGCAATGGCCACGTGCTGTGGCTTGGGCCTGCAGGAATATTCACACTCTGGGCAGGATTATTGTTCAGCAGGGCAGGCTGGGCCCAGTGAGGTTGGGGTGTTTTAAAAGGGGCCCCTTCAGTTCCAGGAGAAACAGATTCTGTCCACAGAAACCTGAGGGTGTGTGGAACTCGGTGATACCTGAGCAAGGAGAGCTTTTCCCTGTCAGTTCCTGTAACTCACCTTACAAACCCCCCAAGGCACGCAGCAATCCTCAGTGCCAAGGCTGGAATATTCCAGGGCTGAGGTGACAGAGCTGCAGAAGGTCAGGTCCCTTTGCCAGGGGACAGAGCTTTGTCTGCACCACTCATTGTTTTATTGTCACCTCCCCTTGAAGGCACAGTAAAGTTCACCAAGATATATTTGAGTAAAGCAGGGATTTCTTGGTGTTTGCCACTGCTGTTCCTAGAGAACAGGGTCTTCTGCATGAAGAGTGATCTCTCTCTGCAGTCTTGGAAACATCTGTTTTGAGTTTCTGACTCATTTTGACAGCACCTGACACATTCCTGCCTTAAAGGTCAAACCTGCTCCTTGCCAGCCCCATCTGACAAATGAGAATATCCGTGATGGGTTAATCTGCTCTTTATCAGCTGAGCCTGAGAGGGTGCTCTTGGAAAGGGATTGGGGACATTCAGCACAGGCAGTTCTGAGGCTGACAAAAGCTCAGGCTGAGCTTTGCTGAAGCAGACCAGAACTGATCGATGTCATAGCTGAGAAACATGGGGGATCAAGGCAGGTGCCAAGTTTTCCCAGTCACTTAGGATTGCTCTGTCAGTGACTGCAAAACTAAATCTGCACAGGTGCCCTCCAGACAGAACAGGTTTTGCAGGACCTCACTGGCAAAAGAGCTCCAGAAAAGGTACTTTGTGTTGTTCTAATCTGTGTTTCTGGAGCTGAAAAATAGACAAAGGAATTGTAAATATTTTGAAAACCCCTGAACCAACTCAGTTTATTCCATGTATGTCCACAGTGGCACTGCAGGTTTGGCTGGAGTGTTTGGCATAGTAAAATTAATATGGATGGTTGGGCTTCTCAGAGTTTGGGAATATGGAATCATAGAATCATTTTGGTTGGAAAAACCTCTTATGGTCACTGTGTCCAGTGGTGAAATTCTAAATGGGCTTTGGGCTGCCCCCAAAGAAATTATTGCCTTGGGTCTCAGCAGTGCCGTGCACTTGAGGCTGTGCAAAGCTGAGCCCAGCTCAGGAGTGATGTGACACATGACCCTGTACAAAACATGAATCTAACTCTACAAAGGTTCAATCTAAAACTGGTACACAGAAAAACCTAACTGGGCCACTTGATAGGTAATGCTCCAGCAAACCAGGCATCCATTGGAATTCTTCCTGTACTAGAGCATTCAGGAGGAGCTCGGTCAGAGCCGTGCCCCCGGTGCCAAAAGCCCTCAGGCAGAGGCTCTGAAAGTGCTGGATGGGGTCCATGGAGTCCCTCTGCTGGTGAGGTGACACCCACACAGTCCTGTGACAATGAATGCCACCAGCGTCAGAGCCACCTGGGGCCGGGCTCCTGTCCCCTGGCAGCAGAGCTGTGCTGGAGCTGCAGGGACACCCGAGCAGGTCATTGCCCCGTGCCACTCCCTGCCCAGCCCTGGGATGTGACTTCCCAGCAGGGCACGGGAACTGCAGGGGGAGTGAGGCCTCTGCTCTGCTGGCTCACAGCAACAGGCAGGGAGGGGCCCTGTGGGAGCAGCAGGGGCTTCTCTGGGACAGAGAGACATGGGAAATAGCGAAGGGCATCATCTCAGCAATGCCACAAAGTTTCCCTTCAAAGGAGCGAGCTCAGAGAGGCCCAGCAGCCCCTCAGCCGTGCCCACTGAGCATCAGAGGTGCCAGGGGTGGCAGTGCAAGTCACCCTGCCAGTACCTGGGCAGCACTGACACTCCAGAGGGAATTCCTGTCCTTATCCAAGTCAATTCAGTTGATTTGGATGGGGGAATGAATTCCTCCTCCGAGTGCTCCTCTGTGCAGTCTGTCACAGTTGCTCACGCTGTCCCTGAGAGAGGCGGGGCAGCTGCCATGGCCCGGGAGCGCGGCCATCCTTGGCGAGCTGCTCCTTCCCGGCGGCGGCAGCTGGGAGCTGCCTCAGCCTGAGCTCAGGAGCCGGGCAGGAGCGCCCGGATCGTCACCCGCTGCTGCCCGCTCCGGCCCGGGCGCCGGGCACCCCTTCGGTTCCCCCGGGCCGAGCGGATCCGGGGCTGTTCCCCGCGCCGCGGCAGCGCCCGGAGCCACGAGCGGCATCGCTCCGTGAGCCGGAGGCGGCGCAACAAACCCGGCTGGGGATAATGGGATATCGCAGTGCTGGGATAACGCGGTATTGCAGACAGGCTGCATTTGATGGCATCCTTTCAGGGCAGGCTTCCTACCTTCTAATGCCACGGGTGGGTTTTCTGCTAGCCTGAAGCAGTTCTCACTAGAGAATCAAATGTGTGAGAGGTCCATTCCCTGTGACCATCTGTGGGGATGTCCGCAGTCAATTCACGACCCTGTGAACTGAGACTAATAAATTGGGCATTTTTCTGGTCTCAGAATCGGAGTCTTAAGTCCTGTGGGTTTGTTTTGTTGGTTTGTTTTTGTTTGGTTGGTTGTTTTGGTTTTTGTGGTTTTTTTTTTTTTTTGTGGTGGTGGTGAAGGTGAGGAGGGCTCAGGGACAAAGTCCTCCGCTGCTGGCACTTGGACCCAGTCCCAGCTGGCCAGGCCCAGGGCTGTGAAGCCGGGACTTGAGCCCTGTGTTTCAGGGGTGCAGAACGAGGCTCGCCCAGCCCTCGAGCACAGAGGCCGAGTCCTGCATTTTGGGGCCCGGGGCCAGAGCCCAAATGCTGCGTGCGAGTGCTCGGAACGCGGAGCCCTGGCTGGGATTTCAGGGTGAGTGCAATGATGCGGTGACTCCTGTGGGGCTGGTTCTTCGTGAGTGCTGTCTAAATGAACCATTTCTGACAAATACAGGCAGGAGCAGGGGAAGAGTCTCTTCCAAGGTATTCTGGGACACTCAAGGAAACACAGCAAGGACACACAGGTGACAGAGGAGAGGGGGGTCACTCAGGTTCGAACACGAAGCCATTAACCACAGAAACAGTGATTACAGTCTATATCTTACCTGAATTTATACATTTGATCTCATTTGCACTTACACTTCATAAGCTTAGGATTTAAAATGTCTTTTTTTTTTTTTCCTGTGACTATTTGGAATAATATGATAACATTTCATACCAGAAGGTGGTGGCCCTCAATTTCCATCACTTAGCTTACTGTTTCAGTGGATTTTCTTACAGGGATTCAGCCTCTCTCTGACCTGAAGGTGGCTTTTTGTCACTTGGTTTGCTTTGAATGCTCTCTGTGCCATTTGTGTCACTTGTCCAGCGAGGACCTTCCCATGAAATGTGCAGCTCCTTTCGGTTCGACCGACCCCGTAATGTTCAGGTGGGTTCGGCTGATCTCGCGTTGGTTCGGCTTATCTAGTTCGGTTCGGCTTATCTAGTTTAGTTTGGTTCGGTTTATCTAGTTCGGTTGGGCTTATCTAGTTCGGTTGGGCTGAACGCGGTTCCGTCCCGTTCCGTTCAGTTCACCTCAGCTAAGCTCGGATCGATTCGGCCAATCCCGGCCAGAGTCGGCCGTTCGGGTACGCTCGGCTGTTGTCGGCCACACTCGGCTGTTGTCGGCCACACTCGGCTGTTGTCGGCCACACTCGGCTGTTGTCGGCTCCACTCGGCCACACTCGGCTCTTCGACCCTGCCTGACTCTGCTCCGCGCTGCAATGGCGGCCGCTGGCAGGGCCCCGCTCCCCGGCCTGAGCCCCGGGAGGGGACAGAGCGCTGGGACAGCCGCCTCAGCCCGGCTCACCCTGTCCCTGCCCGCCCCCGCGTCCCCCGGAGCGCGCCCTGCAGCGCAGAACGCGGCCTTTGGGCCAGGAGCGGGGACAATGCCCTCGGCTCGGCAGCAGCGCCGGGAGGCAGCGGGCGGTGCCCTCAGGTGAGCGGCCGGAGGGGAGGGAGCTGGGCCGGGGGCACCGGGGCCGGGGGCACCCACAGGGGGCCGGGGCTGCTTTGGGCGCTGCTGCGTGGGACCCGCTGCGGGTGGCACGGCTCTGTCCCGGGCCTTGCGGCTCTCTGGGATCGTGTGCCGTGGAATAAAGCTGGGGCTCGTCCCAGCTGCGGGAACAGCGTTTTATTGGGTGAGAAACAGAGTTCACTCTCTAGAATTTTTACACGTTTGTTAAGGGATAAAAGGCAGCGCTGGGCTGCTTGGCTGTTTGCCAGGAGCACCCGGTTCCCTTAAACCGTGGTCTCTAGATTCTGTTCCATTGCAGTGGTGTGTGCATATTCATTAGAGTTTATACATATTCAAACAGTCCTTTCAGTTTAGATGTTCTTTTGCTTGGTTTGAACCTTCGTGCCATCTTGTGGATTAAAGATCTGTGGTGCCATCCTGTTTTATTTTCACTCGTTATTTGATAACGAGGGTCAGTAAATTTTTCCTTTTTTTCAGTGCTCTGGTTTCTGTTATCTTGTGTTTCAGATAAGATTGTCCCCAGCTGTGGGAAATCACCTGATTATCTGACACCATTTTCTGAGTTCCTTACATGTAACAGCATTTGAACATTTCACAGTCTCTATTATGCTACAGTCTAAACTAGTGTCTGTTACAGTGCTGTTTATGAAAGCTGTGCAGTGCATACACGAACTGACAGATTATCCTGGATCAAGAGCAGTAGTTACAGACTGTCCCCTCTCGGGAGTTTTGTGCTCAATAACACCGTGCCAGAGCTCAGACATAAATGGCAAGGGCAAGAACTGCATTTGTTCTGTTCCATTCTGGGCTGGGCTGAGCTCTGTTTGCCGGGAAGCAGCGGGATGGGTGTCCCTGTGCCCACCCCCCTGGGTCCCAGAGAGAAGCTGCTCCTGTGGCTGCAGCTGAGGGGCACTGGGAAACCTGAACGGTCCTGATGGAAACCGATGCCAAACCGGGTTTGGTTGGGTTTGGGACTTGCCATTTTCCCCTGATCCGTGGGTTTTGCCTTAGGAAACAGGAACTGGGCACCAGGACATTTTGTTAGCCTAGAAGGGACGAGTTTGTATTTATTTCCTGAGGCACCTGGATCGATTTGGGTCTCAGTTGGCACCCGAGAGCCTCCTCTGTGTCCTGGGTGGGGTGGTGGCTACCAAAGGGGTAAAAGGTGGAGCAGGAGGGTGGGTGGAGAGGAGAGCAGTGGCTCTGTGGGGATTTGCATCTGGAAAGGGCCCTCAGTTTCCTGGCGGGAGTCCTGGAATCAGAGCTGAGAGTCGCTGAGCAGTGAGGATCGTGCAGCTGCAGCGCCGAGAGTGCAGAGGCTGCAGTGGGCGTTGTCTGCTCGCTCTCCTGATGTCCCATCTCTAATGCTGGGCTGGCACCCAGGCACCTCCCAGGGCTGCACAGCCTCAGGGCAGGGGTGGTTTGTAAATGTTTTAAATGCTGCAGCAGCTCCCTCAGGCTGGATGAGTGTGAGGATATCCAGCTCTGCCTTCGGGCTTGGAGCACGGCAAGGGTGCAGGGCTCACGGTCAGTCTTGTTTAAACACTTGTAATAGCAAAACATTTTAAAGCAGAGACTGTGAGGCAATAACAAAGGCGAGTCTGTGGCAAGGATAGGTCCGAGGTGTCTTTATTAAAGATCCACACTGCTGGATGTTGTGTCAGAGCCCTCTGGGGACAGAAGGTGTCCCCAGAGCTTCATGAAGCCCTTGTTTCCTGCTGGCAGGGCAGGGGGTGAGCCCAGCCTCGGGGGCTGTGTGGCTCCTGCTGCCTGGAGCAGGGACAGCCCGTGGGGCTGAGCCCCAGAGGTTCAGTTGCTGGAGCAGGTGGGGATCTCTTTGTGCCTGGGAATTGTCGCTGCTGCGTTCCTGTCCCAGCTGCAGGGTTCCCTCAGAGCCCGTGCCCTGCAGCAGCACTGGGAGCTCCTGGGCTGGGCAGGGAGCAGCTCTGGCCTGGGGCTCTCAGTCCCATCAGTGCCCATGGAAAGCCAGCTGGGTTTGTTCTGCTGCCATCAGCCTCTCTGCTGTGCCAGCCTCGGTGCCAGGGCACAGAGCTGTGGGAAGGCTCCATCCCATCTGTGCCAAGCGCTGCCAGCGCTTCCAGCAGCGCTGCTGGGGCACCAAGGGCTGCCTTTGGAGCCTGGCTGGCACAGAGGGTGACACACTCTGCCCTGCAGCACCCAGCTGCATCCCACAGCTGCACAGTTCAGCCAGCAGGGAGCAGAGTCAGCTCTGGGCCCAAACCAGGCTTTGTCGCCCAGAGAGCCCCTGAGCTTCCTGAGGCAGCACACAGATGTGCCCTGGCCTTTGGGGCTCATGGTGAGGGCTGCCAGGGCATTGTGATAAGGCTGAGCTGGAGCTTTCTTAGAAAAGCCATCAGCTGTAAGGAGAATCTTTGGCAAACAGGTGGCTGGGGCACTGGCTGGGAGCAGGTCCTGGCCTTTTCTCTTCTTTGCTTTAACCTGTTCTTAAGAGGAGCCCCCAAAACTGCAAAATGGAAAGGAAGGGGGCTGTGGGGGTGAAAGTTGCTTTTCATTTTTTGAAGTGTTGCTGTGGATTTTGGTGTGTCAAGTGGCACTACCAAAACAGCATTGGAATAACCAAACTTCAGGACTCTGCACTTAATTCCTTGAATGTGTTTGTGTGGGTGCAGGAAATGCCAAATCCCAAAGCAATTCCATGTCTGTAACTTCAAGTGCAACATCTTTAAAACCAAGTGCTCAGTGTGGGCTTTCCATGTGGATGCAAATGGCCCAAGGCCTTTCTTGTGTCCCAAAAGCAAAAAACCTTTCCCTGGGAGGTTTTGGAGGGGATTCTCTTTGGGATTTCTTGTGATGCAGCATCCCGGGTGTCCCTTCCTTTGTGCAAAGTCCAATGGGAAAGGATGGAATGGCTGCCACGTGGGCTCTGGGATAAAAATGGTTCTGTTCAAATGAGGCAGAGAATGCAAGATGAAAAATGAGCATCCTTTTATTGTCTGAAATAGTCAGGAATAAAAGTGCTGGCAAAGGACACGTTTGTGTTTGAATTGGTGTCACCTCTCCTGGGTAAAACCCCATAGTGAGCCAGCAGAGCAGAGCTATGAGAGCTGGGATCCTTGGACTTCCACAGTGGACTTAATTTTCTTTTCTCCTCTCTTTCAGGGCAGGAAAAATCATCCAACTCCTCCCATGTTTGCCCGAAGCTTTGGTGTTGGAGCAGCCAAAGGCAAGAGGCTTCAGCAGCAGGGCTCTGCGCTGGAGGGCTCTGGTCCTGCCCACGCTGTGGGGTGAGTCAGAGGGACACAGGGCTCCCCTTTTCCTCTCTGCTGGCATGAGCTGCCATGGCAGTGCCATTGCTGCCAGCCCAGCCCCAGCTGTGCCTGCTGGAGAAGGGCAGAGGTGCAGAGGCAGTGCCAGAGTTCCCTGGGGATGCTGGAGCTGTGGTGCTGGCTGTGCCCTGAGGGCAGCTTGGGCATTGTCTGTGCAGCCCAGGGCTGCTCTGGGCCTTCCTTGGGGAGCTCTCAGTGCATGCCCAGCTCTGCCAGGGCTGGCAGCCGCTGCAGGGCTGGGTGACAGCCTCTGCTGGGGCTGGGGGCAGGCACGGCCCTGGCACAGGGGCAGGGGCAGGGCTGGCAGCATTTGGGAGCCGTGGGAGCAGAGTGAGGGGTGGTGCTGGGCACAGGGGTCAGCCTGTGCTCGTGTCAGCACAGCCCTGCAGGGCCCTGGCATCTGGGAGCAGCTCCAGCTCTCCTGGGGCCCAGGGATGGGCTCTGAGGGACTGGCTTTGCCTGTGCCTTTCCAGGGCAGCAGGAACAAGGGCAATGTGGTGCCAGAGCTGGGGCCCAGCAGGCTGTATTTCCCTCTGGGAAAGCAGAACAGACTCTGGGCTGAGCTGAGTTTCCTGCAAGGGCTCAGAATCCAGGGAAAAGGGAGTTCAGGAATTGCATCTGCTGCTGGGAACATTGCCTTAGGCTTGCTCAGTTTGTGTCTGTGAGCAGTGGGCTCTGGGCTGGAGAGGAGCTGTTGGCAGCAAAAGATGGAGTCCATGCTCTGCAGGGATGTGCAGGGAAGGACTGAGTGGGAGGGAAGGGCAGTATTTAGAAATGAGATCAGCATTTCTCCCAGAATTGGGGTGCAGCAGTGATGGGGGTGGTTGGCTTTGCTCTGGGCCTTGTTATTCCTTGTGCAATTTGCAAATTCTGCTGCATGATTTCCTGTCCAGTATCTTTCTAACAAAAACTGACAGAAATTGAGGTTTAGGAGTAGAGCTGAGGTCCATTCACTGCACAATCTTGCCAAGGCTGGAGGACTGGGATGATGGCTGCTCTCAGCAAAGGTCACTTCTCAATGCTGTGTCAGATTTGCCTCAGTGCTGGGCAGGAAAGGTGAGGGTTTGGATCAGGAATTGTGCAAACAAGGCCTGGGTGTGGTTGATTTGTTTTGTTTTTCAGTGAGCCAGGGCTGGCACAGGGAATGGTGCAGGTGCTGCTCTGGCACCAGAGCTGCTGCCCTTTGGAGCCATGTTCAAGGTGTGACCATAGAACACTTTGGGGGCTGTTTTCAGCACTCTGGGTTTCAGAACTGCTGTCCCCAGCCCGTTGCCAGCCCTGGGACATCTGCTCTGCTTCCAGGTTGTCCTTGCTGGAGCAGCCTGGTCCCTGCCGTGCCCAAGCCCTGAGACACAGAGGGAGCCCTGTGCCCAGGGGCCTTTGGCACCTTGTCAGGAATGTGGCAGCAGCCCCAGGAGCAGGCTGGAGGTGAGAACTGGGTGTTGGGAGCTGAGGAGTGCTCATCAGGGCTGGGGGGAAGGGGCAGGAGTTTCCATGCCCCTGGAGCTTTCCTGCTGGCATGGGGCAGCACAGGGAGCAGCATTCATTGTGCCCCTTGCACGGGCAGTGCTGGCCTGGGTGTCTGTGCTGTGCCACCAGAGCGTGGCACTTGGCTGCTGTCACTGCCACTGCCAGCCCAGCTGGGGGCTGTGCCCTCCTGCCAGCCCCAGCCAGGAGCTCCAGGGGTGCCTCTGGGCCCTGCTGGGAGCATTTGCTGGGAATGTGCCCCATCCCTGGGAGCGTCCCTTTGTGCCTGGGCTGCCAGCCAGAGCTTTGGGCTGCTCAGGCTCAGGCTGGGATTGCCAAAGGCACCGAGAGGGAGCAGCACAGGGAGGGTGCTCAGAGAGGGGCTGGCAGAGCCCAGCTGGCAGGCTGGGCTGGCTGCTGCAGGTGGGGCTGTGTGCACTGCAGGCAGGGAATGTCCCCTTCCCTCAGCAGCCCTGCAGATCCCAAGGGCTCCCAGAGCAGGATTTTATTCCTTACTTCCCTTTGTGGAGATTGATTCTCCACATAGCCATGAGCAATTCTTGGATTTCTCTAGGAGCAAACCTCCCAGCAGAGCCAGATTGCAGTGGAGGCCAGAGCTGTGTTTGGAGCAGGGAGTGCTGAGAGCTGCGTCTGCCTGTGCTGCCCCAGCCTGAGCACAGGCACAGGGAACAGCCTGGGCAAAGGGATTGGGGCAGTGGCTGATGCCCAGGGAGAAGAACACAAACCCACAGCCCTTCAGCCTGACAGTCCCCTCCACCCAGAGCTCAGCACACATCCTCACAGGGAAGCCCAGCAGCTGAAGGAAAAAAAGACCACAGAAAAAAAAGGTGAGTTATTTTGCTGTAAAGTTATTTCAACTTGTTATTAAAGCCCAACCAACATTTGCTCTTGATTTTGGTTGGGTGAATAACCAGCAGTGGGCACAGGTGATGCCATTCATGTGGCTGAAAACCTGGTGTGATCTAGAGGGGATCCAAGAACTGTTTGTGTAGGGCAATGGAATGTGAGGGGATGTCAGGGGCAGTGAGGTGGCATTTTGGAGGGAATTGCTGAGGTCACTGAAGGGAGACCAGCAGACAATTTCCCTGGGAAATCCCAGGCCCCTCGGGCCCACAGCCAGGACTCTCCAGGGCTGAGGGGGCAGCACTGGAGACTCCCTGTGTGCTCCTTCCTTGGCAGCAGCCAGCAGGGAAGGGAGAAGAGGATCCCTGTGGGATGAGACTGCAGAGAGCGAGCAGAGGAGCAGCCTCGGGCTGGAGAAAGGCCAAGGGACCAACACGGTGGCACCAGGGCACCTGTGAGGAACAGAATGGACACTTGGAGGCCACATGGAGGTGAGGAGTGCATGGTTTGGGCAAAATGTCAGTGAATCTCCAGAGAGATAAGGAGGGGATATTTAGGAGGGAAAAGCTGAGGTGATGAGTTCACCCAGCCTGGCACAAGGTGTGTTTGCACAGGCTGGGGCCAGAGGTGAAGGTCAATCCAAAGCCAGCCCTGCTCAGCCTCTAAATCCCAGGATAAGTTGTACAGGCTGCCCACTGAGGGATTAAAAATACATAAAAATGAAACCAGGAGCATTAATGAGATTCCTGGGAATCCCATTAACTTGTTGGCAGAGCTCCTGACACAGTTTGGAGCTTTGATGACAAGAATGCATTTCTTTATTTGGATTATTCACTGTGTGGGATATGGGGTTTGTTTGGATTTTAAAGCCCTCATGGTGGCCCTGACACTGCTCAGGAGCTGGTAGAGAAGCAGAGTCAGAGCTCCTGGCAGGCACAGGGTGTTTTCCCCCATAGTGGATTGTGGAGCAATTGTCTGGGACCTGGATTGTCCCTCTGGGTGATGCCACTTGCTGTGGTTTGTATCATTCCATCCATTTAATTCCCAAAACTTCTCAGCCCAGGGGTTGGAGCTGACAGGGCAGGACAAAGATTGTTCTCTGTGTGGTGCCCAGATTTGGGGTTCCCTATCAGCTGTGCCAGTTCTGATGAATTCTACCCATAGCCCCAAATTCCCTGCTCCATTCCCACTGCAGTAACCTCCCAGTGCCCCATGGAGTGTGGGCATTCCCATGCAGAGCTGCTGCCTTGGACAGCAGCTGTGTCAGGAGCCAGCAGAGCTTCCAAGGAAGCTCAGCAGCACAGGGCCAAGGCCAGGGTTCTATTCCATAGAAGTGGCTGTTGAGAGCCCTCAGCCCAATGGTGTCCCTGGGCTCACTGGCCAGAGCTGCCTGGAATGGAGCCCATTTCACCCCCCTGAGCTCCAGGATGGAGAAGATCCAGTGGATGGTTTAGAGCAGGAGAAGGCAGTGGCCAGATGTGCTCCCAGCCTGAGCTGAGGCAGCCCCTGTGCCCAGGGGGGGACATCTCTCCCTGCAGAAGCTCAGCTCCTTTCAGAGCCTCAGTAGGGGCCTCTACAAATTCTTTTCTCTCAGGAAAGGGATGCACAGCTTTGTCTTCAGCACCCCTCCAGTGGCACCTACCTGGGAAAGCTTTCCATCCCTTCTGCACTTCCAGCTGGATCCCTGGAAAACTCCAAACTCCATCCCACTGATTTTCAGGTACCTCTGAGGGCTGCTGCCTGGGATTGAACACCTGTGGGGGAAGATGGCCTTGGCTTTGATGCTGCTGATGGCCAATGGCCTCAGGCTGGGGAGGAGGGAAGGGATTTGGGGTGGCTGGGCCACAGCTGGCAGCTGTGTGGGAGCTCTGAGCCAGGAGTTGCTGCTGAGCCCCTCTGCAACGGGCCCGTGCCTCTGTTCCCAGCAATGCCAGCTGCTCCTTGGGGTCCTGCTGGGCTGCTGGTGGTCTCTGTCCGGGCTGAAGCATTTCCAGGGGCCTGCTCAGAGCAGCCCCTGGCCCAGGAGCCACGGTGCAGGCACAGCTCCTCCCCTGCAGATGCCAAAGACACGAGGTGCTGCTGCCTTTCAGGAGCTCCTGGCCTCCTCCTGCCCTGTGCTCCCAGCCAGTTGGGACACAGCCAGGGAATACCAAGGAGCATGGCTGGCAGCCAGCAGGAGACACCGAGACCCCTGGGCCAGAAAAACAGCCCTGGCCCCAGCAGCCAGCATCGTTTGCAGCTGGCAACACTCACCTGCAGGCAACGCCCCCCGGCACTCTCCAGAAGAGCTTTGGCCACGGAGCAAGGTAACACTCAGGGCTTGTCTTGTTGGCTTCTTCCTGGGGAAACAAAGGGACATTGTGGGAGCACATTTACAGCTGCTGGGGAAATCTTGGCAAGGGCAGAACAATCAGGGCTATGGGGAAGAGTTTGGTGCTGCCATGTTGAGTGCCAGCCAGTTCTGCCCCACAGCCATTGCAGGGGCTGCTGTGTAAAGCAGCAGTAGCAGAAGGGAAGGAGCTGCATTTGTAGAGGAGTTTCCTTGTGGCAGCAGTCATTGCCATCCCACACAGGGCCTTTGGAACAGCCCTGGGATTGGCTCAGGTGTTTGGAGCAGGGTACTGAGAAGGCCAAAACTCTGGGTTTGATGTGGAGCTGGGTCGGTCACTTCTCAGCATTTGACTTGATGAGGCGGGACTCCTCATGGCTCTGGAAATAAAGAACAAATAGTTGCCACTGTTTTTTAACCCATGGAGTTTTTCCTAGTGCTTCCCTGGGGCTCCAGTCCCACCCCAGGCACAACGGGAGCGAGAGCAGCAACGCCTCGGCCCCAGCGGCCGTCCCAGAGCGGGCTGCTCGTGGCTGGGAAGCTGCAGCCCCCAGCAAGGGCTGCGGGCACGGCGCAGGGGCTGCGGGGCGCTGTGGCTCCTAGGGGAGCGCGGCGCTCGTGGCGTTACTAGACCGGGGGGACTCGGTGTCCCCCCGGGATTACCGGGCCGGGGGGGTGGTGGCGCTGAGCGAGCGGCGATGCCGATGGGGTCCCGGGGCCGGTACGGGCGGTCTCCGTGTCCTTCCCGCTGCCAGGTGCGATCCAGAGGCTGCTCCGGGGAAGCGTCATCCTCCTGGCGGCCATAGCAGCGGCACAGCACCGGCTCCCTGCCGCCGCAGCCGGAGCGTGCCTGGGGCCCTCGGTGGGACCCAGCCCCGTGCTGGCCGCAGCCGGAGCAGCAGCGCCTGTCCCGGAGCGGCTTTTCCCGCCCGCAGTGATGGTGGCCCCAATCCCAACCACAATCCCTTCTCGATCCTCCGGCCCTGGTGCCCATACCTTGTCCGCCGAGAAAGAAACGGCTCGGCCCAGGTCCTACAGGAAATACCAGCAGGACCAAGACTTGAATCATTGGGCCAAATACCGGTCCCGGTCCTACCTGAGCGCCTTGGATCCCGCGCAGCACCAGCAGCAGCCCGCGATCCGGATCTCCGCACAGCGCTCCGACCGATGCTCCCGCCGCATCCCGAGATGAGCATCCCCCGCAGAAAACGGGACAGGCGCCGATCCGCCGGGTTTTTATGGGCGGGCGGGGGGCGGGGCCCCGGGGGCGGGGCCGGCACAGGTGCGAGGGGCGGGGCCTGCACAGGTGTGAGGGGCCCCAGTGCGGCTGCGCGGGGCGGGGCCTTGGGGATTTAAGGCGCGGGGGAGGGCACGGCGGAGCCATTTGCTCCTCGGCGCTGGGTGAGGGAGGTTGCTGCCGGCCGGGGCCCTATATCTCTTTTCTTTGCGTTTCTTTTCTGTTGTATTTCTTTTTCTCTATACCTCTTCCTTACACCCTCCCTTCCTCCCCTCCCCCACCCCCCACACCCTCCCCCCCCCAAACCCCCCCCCCTCCCTCTCCCCCCTAGCCCTCCCCTCCCTCCCCCCCCCTGCGGCCGCCTCTCTATTCCCCTACCCTACTCTACATTTTCGTTCTCTTTCTTCTCTCCCTAACCGGGCACCCCTTTGTCCCCTCACTCCTGTTCCACTTCGCCCCCCCCACCTGCCCTCATTCCTGCTCCTTCCTCCACCCTGCTTTCCCCCAGCCCCGTTACCTGCTGCCCTGCACACCCTGGTCTCCTCACCTTCCTCTCACCTACCGCTCTACTCCCCTGTTCTCGTTCTCCATTCCCCGATTTCCTCCTTTTCTCATAGCAGCCGCGGGGCTCGGGGTGCCGGGCAATAATAAAGCCCTGAGGGCCGGAGCCCGGCGCCCCCGGCCTCGCTGGGGTCCCCACACGGGGCCGGAGCCGCTCTGCGGGTCCCCCCATTGCAGTCCAACACACCGCCCGACACCGCCGGGGCTCCGGCTTTCCCAACATCACACTGGGGGGGTCCTGGGGTGGGGGGCCCGAGTTACGGGGGCCCCCTCATTAGGAGGGGGTCCCAGGGGGGGGAGGGGGGGTTAGGAGGGGCCCCCTCATTAGGAGGGGGTCCCGGGGGGTGGGGGGGGGGGGGGGTTAGGAGGGGCCCCCTCCGGAGGAGGGGGGTCCCTGGGGGGGGTTGGGGAGGGCCCCCTCCGGAGGAGGGGGTCCAGGGGAGGGGGCGGGGCCTGGGGGGGTAACTCCCCCCCCCAGGGCACCGCCCCCTTCCCCGGACCCCCTCCTCCGGACGGGGTCCCACCCCGGCCCCCTCCAGGGATCCCCTCCTCCGGACCGGGGCCCGGGGGGGGAGGGCGGGGACAGGGCGGCAGGGGACGGTCGTGTGGCAAATTTTTTTTTTTTTTTTGCTTAAACGTGTGTTCACGCTACAGAGCGACGTGCCCCCCCTTGGCTTCCCCCCCACCCCACCCGCCCTCCCCCCCCTCCCGGGCCCCGGTCCGGAGGAGGGGGTCCCCGGGAGGGGGCCGGGGTGGGACCCCGTCCGGAGGAGGGGGTCCGGGGAAGGGGGCGGTGCCTGGGGGGGAGTTACCCCCCCAGGCCCCGCCCCCTCCCCTGGACCCCCTCCTCCGGAGGGGGCCCTCCCCAACCCCCCCCAGGGACCCCCTCCTCCGGAGGGGGCCCCTCCTAACACCCCCCCACCCCCCCCCCCCCGCCCCCCCCCCGGGACCCCCTCCTAATGAGGGGGCCCCTCCTAACCCCCCCTCCCCCCTGGGACCCCCCTCCTAATGAGGGGGCCCCCGTAACTCGGGCCCCCCACCCCCAGGACCCCCCCAGTGTGATGTTGGGAAAGCCGGAGCCCCGGCGGTGTCGGGCGGTGTGTTGGACTGCAATGGGGGGACCCGCAGAGCGGCTCCGGCCCCGTGTGGGGACCCCAGCGAGGCCAGGGGCGCCGGGCTCCGGCCCTCAGGGCTTTATTATTGCCCGGCACCCCGAGCCCCCGCGGCTGCTATGAGAAAAGGAGGAGAGGGGAGGACGGGGAGACAGGAGAGATGGGGGTGGTGAGGACGGGGAGGGAGAAGGGTCGGAGTGAGGAGGGAAGCGGGAGAGGAAGGGAAAGGCCGAGGGGGGAGAAGAGGGAGGGTGGAAAGAGGAGGAATAGAAGGGAGTAGCGGGGAAGGGACAGGACGTGCAGGAGTCGGGGGGGGGGGGGGTCGGGTTTGGGAGGAGAGGAAAGGAGCGTTTTAGGGCGGGAGGGAAGGGGGAGAAAGAAAGGGAATACGCGGGGAAGGAAGGAGCGGTAGAGAGAGGGACAGGAGGGGAGGCCGAAGCCTCCGCGCCTTACCTGCGGAGCCCGCACAGGGAGCTCCCGTCCGCACCGTGCTCAGTGAGCAAATGGCGGTCGAGGCGATTTCCGGGGTCTAAAACACCTCGGTCCCGCCCCGCGCAGCCGCTCTGGGGCCCCGCACACCTGAGCCACGCCCGCCGTGCACACCTGAGCCGGCCCCGCCCGCCGTGCACACCTGAGCTCCGGCCGCACCCCTTGTGCCGCCCGGCACCGCCCCCGGTACTGCCCCTTGTACCGCCCGGCCCGCCCCTGGCACCGCCCTCTGTTCTGTCAGGTCCCGCCCCCTCTGCCGTCCGCCCCCCCTTCCCGAGATGGGGGCGTGGCCATCGCTCGCGGCCCTGCCCCTCACACCTGTGCCGTCTCCGCGCCCCAACCGGGGAACGGCCGCGATTCCGCACCCGGCAGCGCCTCGTGCCCGCGCCCATCCCGGGCCCCAAACCGGTCCCGGGCCCGATGCCGCTTCCATCCGCCCGACGGGGGACAGGTGGCACCGCCCGGCACACCCCAGCGGCGCTCTGCCCCCCACGCCCGGCCGCGGTGGCACCGTCTCAGCGCCCCGTGCCCGCGCTCCGTGGCCCCGCCCCTCGCACCTGTGCCGGCCCCGCCCCCCTGTTCCCGCCGGTCCCGGGAGCCTCGCTCGGCGCTGTGCGAGCCCCGCCCGACGGCTGCTCCCGCCGGGGACCGCTCGGAGCCCGGGGCGCTGCGGCGGGGGGCGTGACCGCGGCCCGGGCTGCGGGGGCCGAGCGGTGCCTGGCTCTGCCGGGGGTCCCGGGCGGTGCCGCCTCTCCCCCGTCGCCATCGGGACCGGGATGGGGCGGGAGGAGCCGCTCCGGGCGGGACTTGGGGCCGAGTGTGACACCGCCGCTCCCGTCCCGGAGGAGCGGGGGGGAACCGGGCGGGACAGCGGCGGCCGTTCCCCGGTGCAGACGCGGAACCGCGGCCCGGCGCGGGGGCTCCGACCGGCACCGTGTGCTCGGGGAGCGGCCTGGGTTGTGGGCGCCGCCCCCCCCAGCTCCCCATGACATGAAAGTTTGATAAGGAAGAGTTAATCCAGGAGAGGAGGCCCGTTTCAAGAGTCCGTAATTATTTATTTTCATCTTTTACACATAATCCATCAAGAACAGGTCGTGGTTATCTCCTGCATCGGAAGGATTTAGTCCCGAGCTGCAGCTCACTGTCAGTGCAGATCCCTGGGAGAAAAACCCGGGATCTTCCATAAAAACCAGCTCTGTCTTTGTCCCAGGGGTGTGGGCTGAGAGGGAACATCTGGCCTCAGGGGAGTGCAGGGTGCGTGGGGAGGCTGGGTGGATTTGGGGGCCAGGGGTCTCACTGCAGCAGCTGGATCGCCATCGTTCCCTCTCACCAATTGCCCAGGCAGGACTAGTGAGGATCACTTCAGCTGGATCTTCTCCTCTTCCCATAGAGTCTCTTAGGGTATGATAAGATGCTGAATTGTCATTTTTCTAGGGACAAAGGGAAAGCTGCACTGTAGGGAGACCCCGCAGAGCTCTACAACACTCCCAGCAAAAGTCTGGGATGGGGCTGCACAGCAGAGACCCCAACCCAGCAGTGGCAGGAATGAAACCTGAGGTGCAGTCTGGAGCTGAGCTTCCAAGGATAACAACCAGCATTTCCCAGCAGCACCAGCGGGTTTGGGGTGCTGACATCCCAAAAAAAGTGTGTCTCCTTCCTCAGGATGAGATAGTATCCTAAGCACACAGGGCTTTCCACTCACGGGGTGCACAGAGTGCTTTTCCTCCTCTTGTCGCCGGTGTTCCTCCCAGCATCCCTCACAGACCCCGAGGTTTCAGGGCCACCCATCCCTGTTTGTCCAAGTTAAGGATTCAGAGTCTGGATCTCTGAGGCCCTGGCAGCCAGGCCCCAGGGGGCAGGCCAAGGACGCTTGAAGCCCTCTGGGGTTCATCATTCTCCCAGCTGCTGACCCTGCCTCCATAAAAACCCCAGCATGGGACTCCTGGTGCCGCTTCCTGGCAGGAGGAGAAGAGCCAGCTCCAGCATGAGGGCAGCCGTGGCCCTGCTGCCGCTCTTGGCCGCT